ACAAAATAATAAATTGAAAATTTTCTATTCATGCATCTTAGGTTGTATCACATGACTCAAACTTTATCATGAAAAACAAAATAATAAATTGAAAATTGAAAATTTGGTGTCCAATAGAATAACAAGTCAAAAACTTTATATTGATCTACCGAAAATAAAGAAAAAAGTGAAAAAGAAGAAGAAAAATGCAATTTTATTTAAATCTATTCTTCATGTAATCTTTATTTTAAAATCCATCCTAATAAGAAAAACATATAAGCTATGAAAAACAAAATAATTAATTGAAAATTTTCTATTCACGCGTCTTAGGTTATATCACATGACTCAAACTTTATCATGAAAAACAAAATAATAAATTGAAAATTGAAAATTGAAAAGTTTGAATTTTGAATTTGGTGTGCAATAGAATAACAAGTCAAAAACTTTATATACTAATTAGTAATTTTAATATATAAGAAATTGTTGAAATTGTAACAAGTAATTGCAACAAGCTTTGATAGGGCCAATTTTACTTTCTAATGAACTTATAAGCTAACTGTGAGAACTAGCACCACTAACTTGTTATTACAACCATTAATCAACTTGGCTACTGCCTCAGTTTCTTAACCCTATAATAAGGTAACAAATTACTAATGTTAACACGTGTACAATCTCCCAATCCCAGCCTCCCCTCTCTTTTATCTTGTCTCTCTTATAGTCAACAAATCCCCAAAGTAATCCAAGTTAGACACTAGTTAACTACACAGAGTTCAATTCCATATTGACATTATCTAGATTATTGATCAGTTACAGATGCATACAATTTATCATCTGCTCTACTGTTTGGAGAACTTTCATTTTGCGATGGTGCACTACTTCTTTTGTCAAGCATTTGTTCATTACTGAGGAATACGTAATCAGGAAATGATAATTCCAAATTTCAAAGATTGTTGTATGAAATGCATGAAGAAGAAAACTCTATTCTGGTTTTGATTTATTATTATACCCTAATGAATATTAAGATAATTGAATTCAAGAGCTATGTTGCTCTATAAAGTATAATGTCTTTTGCCTTTGCATTGTTCTAAGCATGGTATTTTTCCGCAATTGTGATTAGGTAATTAGAGGTCTTTGCAACGTGACAATTTGAGTTAGTTTTTGGGAATGCGTCCTACCCAAGCCTATTTATCATGATATCAAAGCCACATTTGTCACTTTTGTTTTACCTTGCCATGGTTTGAGGCAATAGTGGGTTTGGACTTTAGGCATGCACTTGGCGCTCGGGGATTGGACCCTAAGCATGCACCCTGCATGCCATTCCTAGAAAACCCACCAAATCTTTAGAGATGAGTGATGAAATTGCTGTATAAATATATTTTACTACTAATCCTATGCATGCACCCAGTGTTGGCCGTGGTTTGAGGTGTGGTGGGTTTGGACCTTGGGTGTGCACCCGATGTGCCATTCCCAAAAAAATTTCCAGTTCATGTTGAATGTTGTTTTTAACCTAATAAGATATTCCATCCCTTCTAAATGTTGTTCAAGCATTATTCTAGTCTCATTACAGTTTGTCCTCCCAGTACACAACCCATTAACAACCTCTCGAAGTTCATTATCCCTTGCATTAACTGACTGATTACTGAGTAAGAAGCAAATCTATTTCTCGTCAAAAGGGCTTGACTTGAATATAGATAATATCCAAAACTAGGGCCTAATTCACATTAGTCATACTTTCCACCTAATAGAATCTAAAAAAAATTAAAATGACATTAAAACAAGATAAGAAAGAAGTGTTTTGTACTCAAATGCAAGAAAGAAAAAGAAAGAATCCACTATAGTGCAATGACATGAAAAATTCAAAAGTCAATGGAAGTAATAAATATTGTGTACTGTTTATTCTTGGGGTGTTCGGGATCAATGTACTGATTGTTTGATCACTTACTGCAAAAAAAATTTCTAATTATATATGTACATATATCCTTCTATATTAACTTCTTGCATTGCCTCACCCTATCTTTCCTTGTAAATTGGTCTATCGGTGATGAATGTGTTGTTTTCTTGCTTTTTTCTTTATATTCTTACAAACCAAACAGAGTCCATAAACACAAGTAAACATACAAATGATAAAAGAAGTTGAATCTTTTCCCTACTGCTCATAAAACCAAAGGCTCAATATGTTGTAAAGATGAGGAGGAACATCAAAAGAAAGTAAAGAAAGCAAGAGAATCAATATACCATAGAACATGAAATGAATTCAATTGAAAGTGCAAGAAGAGTAAGTCCCTAGTTATATCGCCTATAATTGGTACCTTTGAGAATCTTGAAACAAGGTTCTTTGCTCTGATTGTGGAAGGATTTCATTCTTCGATTGTAGCCAGAAAATATTGGGGAGAGAGGAGTTTCTAGAGTGCCTGAATTTTGGAGGGAACGGTGGCCAAGGTCTCCATGTCAGACTCAGCAACGGTGGCTAGGAGGACGAGATTAGCTGTAGGGAGCCAACACCATTGACAGTCCACGTCATCAATCAAAGTTAGAGTGAAATTTGAAGACGTGTTCCTATTAAATTCGTGTTGTCTGCTAATTTTAGTTATCTTTAGTAACAATGTTTCACGACTAGGTTTGAAAATTAGTCTATTAAATTTGTCTTATCTCAAAGGATTCTCCATGGATTAGTGGATTAAATCTTTGAAACCAATTTCATCATTCAAATCTTTCATTATATTTATGTTAAAATATAGGATCATAAATACCATGGACATGGCTTATAAGGAGTTGGGTTAACACAATTAGAGAATTAATGGTACCTATAAAATATTAGCCTCAATTTCAAACTCGACAGTCGACAGTTCGTGATACTTTTCAATTTTTTTCAATAAAAATATGGGCTTGTTTGATACATTATTTGAAATATATAATCTAAAAAACTATTCTAAATAGGATATGATATGATTAAGAGTGTTTGTCTAAACTGATTACCTATTGTTTTATAATTTTTTTGGGCCTAAAAAAAAAAAAAAAACCTACTTTTTTTGGGAGGGCTTATAAGCACTCTAGTTAGTGGTTATAAACTACTTTGATCAAGTATATTATTAATTTATTACATTACCCCTATTTAATTTTAAAATTCCATCATATAACCTTATTTTTATATTTCAAACAACTCACGCTTCTATCACTATTCATTGAAAAAATCTCTCCCATCTTTTATTCCTTCATATAACCTTATTATTCATATAAATTTTTAATAAAAATATTTGTCTATAAAGTATTTGTTTATTTAATTCTAAAATTAAATTATATTTTAATATTATCGAAATATATTTTGATAATATTATAGTAAAAAATTGAGTTAATATAATTTATTATTTGATAAAATAATGTAATACCCGTTTTAATAATAAAATGTACTCATAAACCACATTTTACTAAACGCGTCAACTACTTATCAATCACTTATAAGTATTTTAACCAAACACGTAACTACTTAAATTTCAAATGTTTATAAGCTCAAATTACCTTATAAGCACTTAGCTAATTTTCATAAGCTGAGTCAAACAAGCTTTAAATCAAATAGGATAGGATTCTAAAAAAGTGTTTGGTATATTTTTTGAAAGCATTTTTTGAAAATATTTAGATTATTTTTTATCCTCCTACATCTATTAATTTAGCTAAACATCCACTCCCCCCCCCCAAAAAAAAGTTTATAAATTAACAAAAATATCCCCACCCACCCAACCGAATGCCGGCCACCATCGTCAAACAATGGTCGGCAATCACCAGAATGGCGCATGATCGGTTGGATCTGGTGGTCGTGCGCCAACATGGCCTTTTCTGATCAGTTTTACCGTGTATTTGGTCAGAAACGACCAAATCTATAGCTAGAATTTGGTCATCGTTAACGACCAAGATATAGCCATAGTCAACAGCCAGATTTCTGGCCGTTTCCAACCAAATCCATGGTGAATCTGGCTGGAAAAGGTCAGATTGACGCACGATCGGCCAAATCCGATCGATCATGCGTTGTTCCGACGCCGGTGAACGGTGGTGGCTAGTGGCCAACAGTAGTTGCTAGCAGTCGACAGTGGCTTGGGTGGGTGGGGGTGTTTTTGTTAATTTATAAAATTTTATTATGAAATGTAATTGTTAAATTTTTTGAGTTAAATAGAATATGATTGGATTTTGAATTGAATTCCATCAATATTAAAATAAATACGTTTTTTATTGTTTACTTTAAATACTATAATAGTATAGAGTTTTAAAAAGTTAAACAAACAAGATGAATAATCATCAGTTAATTGGGATAATAAATTTGTTGAAATAAGCTGTTAGCTTCCATTTTCATTCCATTTTAAATTAATCAAAAGGTGCATATTAATAAAGAAAGATATTAAGAATTCATTGCCTAGAAGCCGATTGGTATTGTAAGTTCAATATTACAATTGTATAATGGCATGTGATTCCGTGGTCTATAAAGATTAGCAACACAAGTTTTGTCTCTGGTTAAATAGTTATATAATCGATATCTGTTCTTCAAGTCCAATCCTTTACCTTGTTTAAAAAATAAAAAATCTTTACTGTTCGTACTCTTCCTCCATGGCAGCAAGACTTTGACATGGTTAATCCAGCCACAGAGGGAGAATCCAAACTTAATGCTGCCACGTTACAAGACCTTGGGAATTACCGTGATACAATTTTATAAGTAAATGTGAGTCCTAACCAGTAACCAGTTAAAGAAATCAGAAAGCTCAACAATACAGCAATTGCTCCATGTATTTTCGTACCTTTTATATCATTCAAGATCAATGGCAACTCAATTTGTGTTAAAGAGTATATTTGTCCAAGAGATGCATTCGGATATTAAAAATTTTCTCCAATCATCATATTATAGAAAAAAGTTGTTCAGTATTTAACTCTTTCCGACATGGGTGATGCAGCCGCTGCATAGCCGGATGTATATACCTCAAGAACATTAAGTGTGCATGACTCTATGATACTCGCATGTAAGAATAGTGTAAAATGCATTTGATAAAAGGGTGTGCAATATTGATGTAGGAGGTATCTTATACTGGCTATAAGAAGTCAAGAAGTACATGCAGAAGATACACTTTTTTACAAAATTGCTTGATATTCAAAATGTGTTAAAACTCTTCCATATGCTACATGGAGAATGTGAAAATGAAAGAATTACCAATCATGAAGATTAAAGAGATGCAGTGGTAATGGCTGGTGGAGCTGGAGTTGTAGTTGCATTATCTGTCCAATTTTTCTCACCCCAGTGCCACAACATGCTTTCCCAGAAGCAGAAATCTTCAAAGCAAGTTTCCAAACGCTTGTCTTTTATTTTGATCTTCCAATGACCATCAGTGTAGTTACCTTTCTCAGCTTGCCTTCGATCCCACTCCAATGCTGCCTTCTGTTTGGACCTAAGCAAGCAGAATTTTTGCAAGTGTTTTGGCATGGCGTCATGCACCTTCCACCATCTTTTATGAGCAACATCGCTAGCAAACTCTTGTAAAATGTCCACATTCCAGTTGCAGTCATAGTCCCGAAAGCATAGCCATGGTTTATTTCCCAAATAGTGGAGAACATAAAGGATAGGAGGATCAGCTCCAAAAAGATGAATTTTCATTTGTTTCTTCTCCTCCTCGTCACCTTCCCAAAAATGCTTCAAGAAGTTCATGTGTTTTGGAATCCGGTGCCACCATGTGAAGATTTCATTCAGATAGCCCTGGTCCCCACCATTGTAAGACTCAATCTCATTGATGTGATCCATTAGCAACTGGAATGTACAATTTGATGGCTCAACCACCATAACACCTGAATTGAACAGGGTAGCATTGTTTCCAGTGGCAGTTATTTCTGGCATTTCAAATAAAAAATCAATGTTTCTAAGTATAAGCAAGTCGGCATCAATAAAAATGATCTTGTCATAATCTGTTAACTGCCACAGACGGAATTTGCTGTAATTCCATTCATTGTATGCGTCCCTTTCAGCTTTTGGGTTCCTGATTCTTTGGATTGTATGGACTTTCCAGCCTGCAGCCGCCAACCCACCTCTATGATACTCGCTAATTGTTTCGTCCACAAGTATCACAAAATCTCGTGTTGAGCCTGCCAAGCGGATACTCTGAGCTGCAGTAATGGCCCCACAAACATATACATGTGCAGAATGAAGGATTGTTGCATATGCTTCTCTATGTGGCCTTTCCGAGTAGAAATGCTCTGTTCAAAAGTATTCAGTTACTATTTTTTTTTTTTTTACTTTTTTTTTTTTTTTTTAATCCATGCGGCATAGATCCAGAGGTATTGACCTACCATATACAGGTTCCAATGCATATGTTTTACGGCTTATCAAAACAAAAACAACAATAGATAGAAAAGCATGTAAACCATTTGATCATAGTATTGTCTTCGCTCTTTTTATAAGAAATGGTACAGTTGATAGTCAATGATTAAGATCACCAAATAAGACTCCCATCAGTAAAATGACTTCAACCAGCCACGGTTTTATGAACTCCCAATGAAAATGTGCTGCTACCTTTTTTTTTTAAATTATCTAGATGGATTGATGTGCTAGTCAATATAACTCAACTAAACACCATAAATGCTTATACATTGTGAGACAAGGGAAGAAAAAAAAAAAGAAGTTCCAAATTGGGTAAAGGATGGAATCAACTAGCTAGCTTCCATTTCAACTAAAATCTTTAAGCAGATAGCAGAATCAAACAACATAATGAAACCAGTTTCTGACTGACCTTTAGCCTTGAGAGGAACTGCAAGTTCACATGACCCCACAGGTAGCCGTACCTTTTCTCTCAACCTATGAAGGTTGGGTTTGTATAGCCATACATTCCCTTCATGTACAACAATATCCTTACAAGTGAAGAGATTTGGAATTGGAAAGCAATCAGTTACCAAAAGCACATGCACTGGATGTAGGCCTTTAGAAGAGGCAGCAAGCCTTGCTGCTTCAAGCTGCAAGTGTAGACGGGCCACATCTCTTGACCATCTCCCCAACTTGTTGCAAGGAAGCTTGACGGCAATAAGATCAATTCGTGGTTTTCCAGGAACTTGAATCATAGGCAGAGAAGGACAAGTGGGAACTTCAAATTCTTCTTCTTCGTCTATCCATTCTGGGTATAGCACTTCCCACGTTATGTTGTTTGATACATGGTCAAGGTGCAAAGGAACATGCTCGGCATCTGGTAATAGCTGCTTCCACTGTTCTATATCACTGTCATTAAAGTTTAACAAGCCAATACCTTGATATTTGTTCCTGTCAGTCAGTTTCTCTACAACACTTGAAATTTGGTCCCAGTCCATATCTAAAGTAGATAAATAACGTGGATCTGCAGTAGCACTCTCTCCCATCCATCTCATGAAACTTGACCTGTATGCAATTAACTTCTCAGTCAGGAAGAGAAAAAAAAAAAAAAAAAAGCTGCCTTTTGCCTTTTAGTTATCAATAGTTTAGATGACTCATAAAAAGAGATGTGATGTCTAGTCCTAGAGACTGAGACAAAGTTCTAATTCAGGAAACCCAATTTCAGGATGACAACTACTACAAAAGCTAAAACCTACTAAAAAGCAAACCAAACATTTAATTACAACTGATTACTCGTGAATAGACAATCAAACATACCGAGATGCAGCACTGGATGGATGATCAGCAATATGAACTGCTGGAGAACGGAAAAGTGTGAACAAAGTTCCCAACGAGATAATAACCAGCAATACTTTCAAGCTGGACTTCTTGCAGTTTAAATTCCTATATTGTATTGGAACATGAAGCGCTTTCTCAACATTTCTAAAAACCCTATATCTTTGGGACCTCCTTTTGTTTGCCTCTTCACTGCAACAGAAAGAAATTCATGAACAGCCAGAACAGCAAATTGTGTCTTCATAATATAAAATTGACGCAAGATCAAAAGATAACTAGATATTAACTTAATAAATCGGAACTCGTTCAGTACACCATAGAATCGTTTGCACAATGAACCAATACTCAACTCTTAAATTCTTCTAAATGCTTATTTTACAAATTTGAGTACTAACTGATTCAAATTAAGTGTCAAGAGCTGCAATCATCAATCAAAGCCAGAACTCGAGCCACAAGTGACGATCTCAAACACAACTAAATTTCAAGAATCAGTATAGACAAATTAAGCAACTCAAACACGAAACTCTAACGCAGAAACAAAGACTAAGGAATTCAAATTTTCAATAAATTAATAGATCTGAACGAAAGCTACTTAATCATTCACCAAACTAATTTTAACGAAATCGTTAACAACTAGAGCACAAATCAAGTGCTTCGACCGCATGACAATTAGTTTGCGTTCATCTAGTTAAAATTTATAATGAGATTTCGAGAGAATACTGACAATGAAGAGGACAATCGGTGTCTGGCCTCTAAAGGACTAGGAGAGAGACCTCTCATCTTCTTCGACTCAGCTGCAGCACCGGGGAGGCAACATCTGATTTTATATAACGAAACTCACAGCAAGTCAAAGAGAAAAAAAATGAAAACAAGAAAAACGGTTTTGGAAAACAGAGAGATCAGTGGAAAAATATTTGCTTATTACTAAAAGAGAGCTGTCATCTATTGGGGGTGTGGTTGCAAAAATAAAATTTATTGAAGTGTGAAGATCAAAGGCGGCAGTCTGGAGCCTGTTAATACGAAAGAGCGTGGTCGCTGTCAGAGCAGTTAGTCAACGCGAGAGAGGTTTAAATTAAGATTAACCCGTTGTTACACTTGCTTAGCGAGGTAATTTTATTTTGGGATATTTTTATTTTATTTTATTAAATTTGTGGTTAATGGAGGGTGATTAAGATATTACAAGTTGGGAAAATTATTATTGTAAATACGCGTAATGATAAAAGGACTTTTTGGTTTATTTTCAAATGTTTTCAAGGAATAGGAGTGTTTGTGGTCAAAGAAAATATTACGTTCTTACCTTACCATCATCCATTGTTTCTTTGTTTTCTTTTATTTCTCATTAAAAAATAAAATAAGGACAAACAAAATTATAAATTAAGCCAAAATATGAGTAATAAATTTGATTTTATGGTATAAAATTACATATATAGGCTTTTATTATACACTAATCCAATCAAATGCTATCATATATGAATTCAATTTGATTAATGTATTAATTATTTTATATAATTAATACATTAATTTTAAAACTGAATCATTGCATCAATGAATTGAATACGCAATTCCTTAAACTATTTATCATATCCATGTTTTTATTAGCACTATGATTAGTTTAATGGGTCATAATTAATTATTGTTTTCAACCTAAACCTATTTAAATGTCTAGAGTATAACTAGTATTGTTGTCCTTTTCCATTAATTTATTGATGTTCTCTTCAGGTAAAAATTATGATAAGTCAATTGAGAGTTGGTTGATGGCAGGTGAAGAGCTGGTGAATGTCAAAATCAAATGTCGTGTGTTGTTAACTAAAAGCAATTTCCAATTCCTAACCAACAATTAGAATATGATTTGCCAAACTAATATAAACACAACTGAATTGGAGGCTTCACTTATGGGCACAATCTTTACACACAAATCAATTTACCAAATAAATTACAGAAATCCTTCCGTAGCTTGTAAAATATGTTTCCACTCTTGGGTTTTAGGATTTAAAATTAAAATTAATATTTTAGAAAGAAAAAAAATTATATTTTCAGGAGCTCACATTAGATCCAATTAATTAGAGATTGAGGTGGATAGTTACGACCATTGTTTTAAAACCCGGCCCATCCTAGCTAGTTCAACCAGAACCGGGGCTTTCATCAAGCTTGATTACCCATTTCATTCACCGAAAACCCTATAAATTAAGATGATAATCGACGAACAATTGAAGGCTAAGATGTTGGGATTTTTGAAGAGAAAGTGTCAATGAATGCAATGTTGGCAATGGAGTTGGTTTTTAGTGAGTAA